GAAGTACGTTTATACTAGTTTTGTAAAAAAAAATTAAAAACGTATTATTTTGGTAATTGATTTTAAAAATAGCTCATTTTGATCAAAAACTCCAATGGTTAATTTCGCAGAGAGGCGTCACCACTTTGCCACTAAAACAGCCTTCTTTTTTCGACCAGAATTAAGATGGTATAACGATAATAACGATGGTAATATTAGGGGTGATTTACCTAACATAGTCCTTCAGTATAACCTTTTTGCTCAACAAGACGCTTGGCATAAATCACCCGTAAATCAACCTTCAAAACTCATATATTTGGATGAATTTCATGAATTTGAGACAAGATCATTTGAACTCAAACTATGCCCTTCTCAATACACGTCACACGACGTGTTTTTCAGTATTCTTAAAGAACATCTCACCAATTGGGGTGACTATTATAATGTTTGTGATGACTATCTCATCAAACGAATGATATTTTATATGGATAAAATTATTGTAGATGGATTGAAAAAGGGTCGTGCTACTAGTTGTCAGATTTTTGTTGATATGACTTTGAAAATGAAATATGTTTTGGATCGGAGAGTACTGTGGCGATTGAGTGGGGGTATGGTACCTGCTAGTAAGACATCAATAATGGAGTTGCCGCAGAGAATGGAGATTGATGATGGTCAATGTTTAAAGGATATTGACTGTGTCATCTGTCTTGAACAACTTGTTTTGGAGGGTTGAAATATCGTTTGTATGCCTTGCTCCCATATGTTTCATAGAGATTGTATTGTTGTTTATTTATTTAATATAAACATGTCTCTTGACTTGTTCATTAATTTTCTATAGTGAAAATCTCATTATCGTCCATTGACTTTTATTGGAAAAAAAAATGCAAATTACAACTCATTTGATGAGTTTTGTTAGATTAAAATGCTTCCCTAAAAAAATTGATAAGTTGGTTTTGACTTTTAATTACCAATTATCGAATTACTCATCTAAAATTTGAGTATCCCAAACCGAATATCAAGGTTAAAATTGGTTTATATAATAGTTTATATTTCTGAATTAATTGATTTACAATTAAATTAATTATTTTATTTTGTAAAAATTATAAAATTAGTTAAGTAATTAATATTAATTAAATTTTAGTGAACTTCTCTAAACTAAACTCAATTTGGGTATGTAATTTTATAAATGTTTCCAGAAACGGATGAATAATTAGGAATTCATACCAAAAATATTAGTGAAAAAAAATAAAATAGGAAACAATAAAACTTTTAAGTATATAATAGATTAAATTTATTCGGAAATAGAACGCTTGTTATATAAGAGTTCATTTAATAAATCAGGACCTAGGTAACCAATACATTTTTTTCCTTATTAAATTTTGTTGTTTTTTTATCTTTACTATTTATCTTCTCCTTTATAACTTCAGCTCGAGACGATGTTGAACCCTACTAACCTTAGTATATAATATTCATATGCAAATGAGTTGTACAAAGTAAGAAATATATCACTCTTAGGGTGTATTTAGAAAGAAAGGAAAATATTTTCCAATATTCCAACTTTCTTATGTTTGATTGAGTTAAACGTCTTGGAAAATATTTTTTAAATCAACTCATTTTTCTCAAATTTAAGGAAAATGACTTTCCTTCAAAAATTAAAGAAAACATTTTCCGAAACTCTCTTCCAACTTTAAATTACAATTTTTGTTACCAAAAAAATCAATTTTTTTGTCTCTACCTTCAAACCCCCCCCCCCCCTCTCCCTCAAAAAAAAAACTTAAAGCTTATTTTTAAAAACTATTTTTGTCTTCAACTTTTTGTTTTTTCACCTCACCGTACCCCCTAGCCCACTACCACCCCCCTCTCAAAAAATAAATTAATTAAAATTTATTTTTAAACGATATTTTCAATTTCATTTTATTTATTTTTTTTACCCCACCCTCTACGCTCGACCCCCGTCAAGCCCCCCACCCCCTCCCAAAAAAAAAATTAAGTTTGTTTTCCAAAAATATTTTTAACTTCAAAATTTTATTCACCCCTATTTTCAACCACCCCACCCCCCTATACAAAAATATTTGAAGAAAAACATTTTAAGTTGTATTTTTTCATCATATTAATATGCAAAAAAATTATAATTTATAGTACTTTTCATATAGTTTTAGAACATCTATTTTTTTTGTTTAAAGTATCGAATTAGTGTGATCTAATTTAATTTTGAAAATTAGTCAAATTGACTTTCGAAAAGCGCAACATGACAAACAATACTGGACGAAGAGAGTACTTAATTAAGGCGCCAGATAGTACTCATGATCTCCACAGGGGGAAGTAAGATCAACAAACACGTCCTCTTTGCAAGGTATTGCCCATTGAATGATCAAAGCCAAACTCTTCTTCAGCTCGAGTTAACAAGTCTTGAAATAAAGGTTGGCTCAACTATGATTCGGGCTCTCTCCTACATACACTGCACAATGCCCTTCTGGAACACCTGTTAAGGATATACTTAGGATTCGATTAGCTTGAATAAATGGAGTCACCCATTATCTCAAGAAATATGATGTATTTCCAAATGTTGAAGTATAAAGAACAAGAACTTTGAAAATTACACAGAAAATGACAAGTCTTTTGAGGGTCAGATACTTGTGTTTTGTTTCCAGTTCCAGAGATAAGAAGTGGTCAGTACTAAGAAACTTATCAACATGGCCAAGAGATGGCAGAACTTTGCAGCCAAGCAGAGGAAGAGGATTTCATTTCTATTGAAAAGAAAGAAAGCAATTGAGGAAAATTTTCTGTTGCCTTTTAATTGAATCTGTACATGTGCATTTATACAAAGCAAAAGGAATAAAAATTTGTTACTATACTACCAGCTGTCCTTCTCTTATTTGTTTTTCTCTAACTGACTAATTGTAAATAAATAAAAACAATATTTACATGTATAATGGAATATATCTGAAATATTCCTTGGACAACTGTGATGATTCTCATGATGAAATATAATACTAGTTGTGATCAAAGGTTGAGATGATTTGAAATAGGAAAGAGGATAAAAATGTCCTAAAGATGAGAGATAATCAGACTTTGTCCCTCATCTTTCGTCCATTCTCTTTGAGCTCTGAATCGAGTTCACTTCCATGGTGAAACTCAATGTTGCAATCACCAACATCCCCCCCTCAAGTTGGGAGGAGTGGAGACCACACCCAACTTGCCGATGATATTCAGATGAGCAGGACCAGACAAAGGTTTCGTGAAAATATCAGCGACTTGAGATCTGGAGGGGATATAGGAGAGGGATATGATTCCAGTCAAAAATTGTTGGCGAACGAAGTGACAATCTAACTCCACATGCTTTGTGCGTTCATGGAAAACTGGATTACGAGCTATGTGGATAGCCACTTGGCTATCAGAGTGAAGGGCCACAGGTAAAGATGGAGGAACAGACAAGTCATCAAGCAACCGAACCAGCCAGGTAACCTCTGCAACCACTCTTCTCATAGAGCGATATTCTGCTTCAGCAGAAGAAAGAGATACTAAAGGTTGCTT